TTTCTTTTGTGAATGCCTGTCTCCTTGTCTCCTTATTAAATTTGCAAAGGAATTACTCATTGCAGGCCATTTGTTCAAAAGGCAAAGAACTTTTTTAATTTCAACATAAGTTTCTTCATATCTAAGACAACGTTCAGTGTATAAACTGCTTTCCCTTGTCTCAAGGATTTTAAAGTGGCTTGTTTGCTCTTATAGGTAGCTTTTTGTCATCCAACTACCGTAAAAAACTTTGCACAGCTATTATGGTAAATAAGGCATTTCACCAACCCCCAAACCATGAAGCACCTAGTTCCGTATTCTTTCAATTTTTCATTGGAACTGACACTTAAACCCTTAGACAACTTTTCCCCTTATTCTTTTAAAAGCTGTATTTTAATTTTAGAGCTGACAAACGTGTTTCAGGGCAATGTTGCCATCTTTAGCAGAAAAACTACCTTTCCCAGAATGCATTTCCCTTATATCAGTCCATAATAATATCAGTCCCTTATATCATTTCCCATATTTCTTTTCGGGTCTGAGAGTCAACTGGTTCTCTTTTACCAGACTTGCTTACAAATTCTTGCCCGGGAGGTTTGAACAAAGTTTTTTGCTTTTGCAATGGGAGATTTGAACAAGCATTTTACATTTTCAGCTATGGCACATTGGGAGATTTCTATTCTCTCAACTGGCTTTAACAGGTGCTTCTTCTTCATTTGACACTGGCCCCTGAATCAGAACTGCACCTGCCTCATTGAGGCTGGCATTTCTGATAGCAGCTTTCCTCAGGGCTTGTGTTTGTTTTAGCCAGTCACTGAAAAACAAGATCATTTGCAACAGTGCTTTTCCATAGCTTCTTCAGAGAGATTTTCTCCCACTGATCTTATTCTCATTTTTCTTGTTCCTTCCTCCCCAGATGCAGAGCTTCAGGTATTTGTCTGCAGCTCTGTACCTCTGCTAGCTGCCTTTGGAGGTAGGGGCTTTTTTTTCTCGCCCTGAATTTGCCTAAAACTCTAGCAGCTTTGTCAGGTCATGCATTTTCTGGGGAGGAATCTGTCCCCTTTGTTTCTTCAGAGTCTTTCTCCCTGACAGTATCCAGTTTGGTCTCAGTTTATCCCCTCTACCCCAGAAACAGTTTCCAACACTACAGTGGCGGCTTTCCCTGCTACTGAAGGTAGGGGCTTTAGTCCGTTTCTGTTTTCGGGGTCTGTGGTTTGTGTTCATGAATCAAGCTTAGTGAGGGAGGTTTTTGCCATTTCTAAACTCCCATTAGGACAGGTGTTTTGCCTCATCAGGCCTTCACCTGGCCCAGTCCCCCAGTGGGTTACATTTGCTTGTCTGGGTGCTCAAGGAAAGAGCTTATGCCAGAGGCAATCACCCCTCAGGGCTACACTCCCTCAACTCACCTGGAGTCAGTTGAAACAAAGCTTTTCTCAAAGAGATGCTTTGTCTGACAGAAAAGAAAGCTTTACTCCTGGATAGTTCTGTTCTGCCCTGGCTAGGCTCTTTCCCCAGACAGCATTCTGACTCAGCAGCACGACTGCTTCAGACACAGTTCAGCTTTACTGTTTTCCCAGAAAGGTCCTTTCTCTGATAGGAAAGCTTTTCTCAGAATTCTTTTTGCAGCTGTGGACCTATCAACCCGGGACTTGTAGAAAAGTGGACAACTGTGCCATTCCCACCGGCTTTAGCTTTGTTTGTTCATTAGCAATCTTCCCCTGGGTCCTGCACCTTCCTGCCTCAGCTCTGTCCTCCAGGAAGTTTGCAACTGCAGGAACCCTAGTATCCCCGAAATGCACTCCAACTCAGAGACCTGGCCAGTCGCCCCTGGGTATTTGGTCAGAAGTGATGATACAATGAAACAGTTTGCATTGCTTCAAGGGATCTTTGCATTAGGAAGATTAGGAGCACCTTTTCATTCTGAAAACGCTCACTCAGACAAAACCCTTGTTGCCTCAGCTCAGCTGTAACTGAAAAACTTGACTTTTTTGCTTTTCTCAGGTAAAGTTTCCTGCCCTTTTGGGCTCTCTGTAGCTCTTCACCCACACTCCCAAGCATTTCCCTCAGGGTACTCTGACCCACTGTCTTTTACTAGCTTGAAGAGACAGAGCTTAGAAGAGGTTTTTAAAAACTTGTTCCAGCCTCCTGCATTGCAGGGAGGATTGTTAAAGCTCGAAAGAACTTAGAGGTTTTGCTGTCTTAAGAGGTTTGTTGTTTTCCCTTAGAGCTAATCACAGGTGGTCCCCATACTAATATCTTCGAGTGATTCTAATTTTTGTCCTTCTGAGAAAGTTAAAGGCTTTAGTTTTTAAGTTTCTTAAGAGCTTTTGAGAAAGATTAAGGCTTTTTAGAGAGTTTTCCCCCCAAATTTTCCAAGAAAAGCTTTATAGTTTAAGAGAAAGATTTTATTCCCCAAGAGAAAGACCAACTTTTTCTAAAACTTCCCAACTTTAAACTTTGACTTCTTATACCCCCATTTTTGCCTCAGGGAGAAATTACTTTCTCCTGCCACTTGGATTTGGCATTTCAGCTGTCCCCAGGTCAAAAGCTTCCTTAGGAAACTTTTTCTTCCTCATAAGCTCAAAGAAGAACTATTTTACTACCCGAAAAACCCAAAGAAAGATTTTTCCCCCAGTTTGCTTTCATAGCCCCCAAAATTAGAAAATTGAAGAGTTTTTCTGTATAGTTGCCTTACTTATTTTTTCCTACACATTCTTACACTTCTAAGTTTTTCCTAAACTATATTAATATCTTATACCTTATACTTATTTTTCACAGATAGAAATTGAGAAAGGGATAGAAGATAGAAAATTTTGACAGAAGAGAATTTCACTGCAGCATTGGACATCCTTCCAGTCCGCTTTCATTTTCTCTCAAGGATAAAACCCCTGCCTCCCAGAAAAAATATATTTTTTTCCCATAACACTGGCATGCCTTTCCACTGGCAGGGCTGACAGCACTTTCACCAAAAACTCTGTAATAAAACTATTATTTTCCTTTATCTTTAGTCCCTATTACTTTGTCTTTAGTCCCTGTTCATTTGTCTTTAGTCCCCCCTTTTTTTGTTCCTTTTTTCATTAGTTCCTTCTTTTTTCTTTTTTCTTTAGTCCCTGTTCAGGTGCCATTCTGTGGGGTGTTTACCCACCAACCCCACAGCTTCCCAGAGTTTTCTTAAGTGCGAGCAGCAGGAAATATTAGATAGAAGGATTTATTATGGAGAATATTGCAGATATAAACAGATAGAAAATAAAGGATAGCCTTGAGAGGGCCTGGAACCTTTTCCAATGGGTCCCAACTGTCTCTGACCCAGGGTTTTATAGAGATGCCAAGGGGTGGAGCAAAAGACATCCTCCTCCAGCACAGCCAAGTGCAGAACATCTCAGACACCTGCACTCAGGCCAGGGGTCCTAATCATCCTCCATGCGGACCTGCTGGGTAAAGCCATGGGGAACCTGAGAACAGGCTCTTACAGTATCTGGAGTATGTCCTCAAAGTGGGTCAGAGATGGCTGTCAGATGCCCATAAAGAGACAGTGCTAAAAATACCCACTCCCCAAATTACAAAACAAGTGAGGGAGTTCCTGGGTACAGCAGGATTCTGCCACCTGTGGATCCCTGGATTCGCAGAGCTGGCCAAACCTCTAAATGAAGCAACTAAGAACACCTTGGACTTTGTTTGGACAGAGGACAGGAGAAGACATTGGATGCCTTGAAACAAAACCTCCTAGAGTCTCCTGCTCTTGGCTGCCAGACATAATTAAGCCCTTTTATCTGTTCATAGATGAAAATAAGGGGGTGGCAAAAGGAGTGCTAACCTAAACAATAGGACCGTGGAAAAGGCCAGTGGCCTATCTTTCACACAAACTAGATCCAGTGGCAACGGGATGACCACCATGCCTCTGCATCATAGCAGCTATGGCACTACTGCTCAGAGATGCCAATACATTAACCTTAGGGCAGAACTTACTAATCACCAACTCACATGCCCTGGAGGGCGTCCTCAAACAGCCACCTGACTGATGGCTGAGCAATGTCAGACTAACCCATTACCAAGCTTTGCTCCTCAACCCCACCAGGATAACATTTCAAATTACAACTGCCCTTAACCCAGACACCTTGCTGCCCAACCCTGATCTTGGAGCACCACACCACTACATGACTGTACTGGAATCCTGGCCCAGTACACTGTATCAGTCCAGATCTATGAGATACACCCCTACCAGATGCTGAGCATACCTGGTTCACAGACAGGAGCAGCAATGTGTGTGATGGTCAGAGGTATGCTGGGGTGGTGGTGACCACATCCTCAGACATTGTATATGCAGAGTCATTACAGGTTGGAACTTTCTTACAGAAATTAATTACCCTTACAAAAGCCTTGAGACTGGGAAAAGGAAAAAAATTAAACATTTACACCGACAGTAGATATGCCTTTGCCAAGGAACATGTTCATGGGGCAATCTATGGGAAAGGGACTTGCTCACAGCAGAGGGAATGACAATCAAAAACAAACAAGAAATTCTGGACCCCCTGCAAGCCATAGGGGGCCCAAGAAGCTGTTCCTGCTTCTGGTAATAACAATGGGCCCTTTATCCTCAATCAGTTGCTCCAATACATGAGATAGAGGCTGGGTACAATTCAGCTCATGGTACAGGAACACAAGAGTATATGCCCATAGAGACAAGGGACAGCCACAAGTTGGCCATTAGGAACCCATGATTGAGTTTCTATAAGGCACATAAGAAGGGGTAAATGAAGAACCAGGGCCCCTCCATCTTGCAAGCCTGTCCATTTGCAACAGGCCTTAATGTTCAAGTTTTCAGTATTGCTGACATAAATTCCAGGACTCAGAAAGTACAAAGTCAGCATGTCAGGAATGGCCATCTGGCCATCTGGTAGCAACTGATTAACCACAGAATGTCCCATCCTGGAGACAGCTCAGGAAAAGGGTTTAACACATAACAACAGATAAACCAAACATAAGATAACAGCAAAATTCTGAAAAGTCCCTAGGCATGAGCCAATCGGGATTGTATCCATACTGAAATCCCACTAATGTGGTCACCTTGTGGTTTTTGCCTTTAGTATCCATGCATGCTCAGGAAGAGGTACATCCTCTAGCCTCCACTGTGTAGGTGTGCTTGAAGAGGTCCCTGCAGCACTTGAATTTCTCTACTAAACCTTGCTTTTGCATTTTGGTGAAATTTTGTCTCTGGTGGTCTCTTTGTGGGTCTCTCGACTTTGGCACAATAGAATATGCCCAGAAACATTTCTTCATGTGCAGGAAAGAGGGTCAGTAGAAAATCTAGCGTAAAAAAAAACTGTTTGGAATAGTGTTTAATATTTTAAAGGATGCACATTAGATAATTCCTAACCACTTTATGGACAGAAAGCCCAGAAACAACAAAATAAAATTTTCCAGTATGTCACAATCATGCCAAATGTGTGAGTTGGACTTCTTTTATTAGATGAGTATCATAACTTCACCAGTCAGATGGAAAATAGTCAACTTCTCATGAAGAAAGCATGAGTTAAAGATAACACCAGACTTTGAATCCAGGAGAAGAGTACTGCAAAACCAAGGGGCAGAGATCTGGACCAAATGTGTGATCCTTCACCAAATTTGAAACTGTGGAAAGGAATATTTGCAAAAGGATTTGTTACTTTGTGTGATATATGAAGATTAAGGTATTGGTTGACTGCAGCTTAAGAAGTAATCATGGCTAGCAATGTTTTATAAGTTGGTTTTTACATAATTCCTTTTATAATTTATACTTTTATTTATGTAATTCACATAATATTTTTTCATGCATTGGGCAGCTTTTTGTTACTTTCACAAAAAAAATGTAAGAAAAAGTTAATAGAGTTAACTTTTCAATTTTATCTTATAGTTTAGGACACTCATTCCAGGACTTCTTGACCTAGTGACTTTATGTATGAGACAGGTCTCAATGATATGGGCTAATCATATTTTGGAGTATTATGGTTAAAAAAATAAATTTTCATTTTAAATAAATTATTAATTAAAGGCAAATTACTTGGCATACTTGGATCTTAAGGACAAGCATTAGAACTGCATCTAACACTAATTCTAATGTATTCATAAGGTTGTTATTAAAAATTAATATTACATTATTATTAGCATTAATACAAAAAGGGCAGAATAAAAAATGTTCATGTTTTAGAATGCTCAGTGTATATTGTTCATTATTAATTATATAATGTCTCAAGTAATATTTCTGCAGGCCTTCAAAAGGTAGTTTAACTCCCAGGTTCAGTCACATGAGATATATCTGTAGGCCGCTGTAGGATTTGGCTCAGGAATACCTACTGGGAGTATGTTGACTGAATGGTGCTCATGTGTCCCAATAAAACAAACAGTATGTCCTTTTCCAAAGTAGAGTTTAACTCTGTAGGTTTGGCAAAGAAGTGTCTCAAGAAGGAGAAGTACAAGATTTACTCCAAACACTGATGTAAGAGAATGGGAGATATTCCAGATCTTGAATTTGGTGCTCAAGGATACCACTGGATTCTGAACACACAGGTAATCCAAGAGTTATTTTAGAAGTTTCTGAAGAAATAAAAAATGAAGATTCAAGTTCCTTATGGCCAAACACATAAGTTACCATTACAGAAACCAGGGTGAACCAAAACTGGAAAGCTGAGAAAGAAGGACTGGATTGTTGGGATGTCCTGAGTTGAGAGGCTAGGAGAAGTGGTAGGAATGCCAAAGGGGAGGGTGTGAGAGGAGGAGTGTATAGAGATGGAGGATCTGGCAAAGACAGAGATAAGGAAGTAGGAAAAGAGGGGTGTATTTGGAGGGTGTGGCTAACCATGACAAGTCAAGATATAATACAGTGTCGTTCTACTTGCATCCCATGAATCTTAAGTCCTCTGCTTTGCTGAAGCTCCAGGTACATATTTGAGTAGACCATGGGCAAAACCCCATGGAGCTCACTGATTCTACAGGCCATATTGATCCTGCTCCTAAACTCCAGTCATGCAAGGGCAAATGACCTGGATGAAGTAAACCGAAAATATTTGATAATTAACTGGCTACCAATTAGTGAGAAGGATGCACTGGATATTGCCAATATTGCCTACAATCTGCATAGTGAGGAAGCAAACATCAGCAAAATAATAAGCAACAAACTTCTGGTGAGTACTTGTCCTAACATAAGAGAAGTATGGACTTGTCCATATGAAATATTGCCCTTCTTCCTACCCTCAGCAGCCTCTTCAGTCTTGCTGCAACCACACTGATTATACAATGTACAATTTTGTTTCATTAACACCCATAGCCAAAGGTAGGGCTCCTCAGATTATATCTTGAAGAATGCATATTTCTAAGATAAACTATGTCCATGAGGTTTTAGTATTAATACCCAAGTCTTTCTAAGTCTTCAAGGATCTCCTGAATTATGGGCCACATTGGTACAGCAAGAATAATAGGCATGGAGTTTTACAAAGAAAAGCTACTCTCACTGCATTTCTATTTCAAGGTACCCACTGTCAGAACGAACCAACAGTATAGTTCAGGGTAACAGTTAGGTGTCCTTGGGTTAGCTCCCTGGTATAAACACCCAGTGTATATCAATGAATTAATGATCACACAGAAAGACAAACAAAGACAGTCGTTACTGTGGAAGGATCTTTTTGGTACTCTTTAATATCTTTTAAACATTTTTTAAAAATATATATGGGTATTTCTCCCCCAACCTCCCCCTCCCTCTCTCTCTCTCAGTGTCTGGGTACCACTTAGCCAGATGAATATGTGGAGGTCAGTAGAAACCTTAGAGTCTTTAGATATTTCCTGCTATCATGGGACTTGTAGGGAATAATTCAGAGATTCAGGCTTGCCAATTTTTAGGAAAGATGGTAAGCATTTTTCTCCCCTGAGCCCTCTTGCCAGACTCCCTTAAAAATTTTATTATTTTGAGCGGCTAAATTTCAAGGTAAACTGATTTAGTTTCTCACAGCAAACCATCCTGGGAATCCTTCTGTCCCTATACCTAGTATCTGGTTAATGTTACAGTAGCAGGAATTAGGACACTAGTGTCTCAACTCTGGGATAAATACAGTGTGCCCAAATTCTAGGAAAGTAGTTACACACTGTGGGGAGATGACCACCATGTAGACAGTCTCTGTCAGAAAGTTGGAGTCAGGTTCATGACAGATACGTTTCCAGGAGGTGTTTAGCAATGCTGTAATGCTAACATATTTCAAATCAGAGTCAACTTGAAATTAAAACTAAATGGAAGTATGTACTCAGTACCCATGGACACAGTCACAAAAGGAATGTCAGCTGGTATGTGGATTTCCTTTGTGCCATCTAATGAAAATGCAGATGAGTGACTATCAGCTCATCTCTCCTTCTAGAGAGCATATCTGGCTTTTACTTGACAACATATCCAATGTTTCTTAGTTGCCCCACTTTTTTTTTCTAGACTGGATATTGCTCAACAATGGCAAAACAGAGAGGATAAAGGTTATTGTTGGTCAGTGTGTCCACGAGTCTCATTTAACAGAAAGAAAATGAGCAACACAGGAATGATGAGATCACACCTGGTCCCTTGAGATGAAGTCTAGAATCTCAGACTCTGTTTTCCCCAGTGTCTTGATAAGTTGGGTCTGAGATGCCTTGTGTAATTGAAATGGAAAATTCTATCTATTAATTTTATGAGCAAATTCGTGATATTTGTTGAGGTATAGGAACAGCAAGACCCTCCTAGAAGGATGGGGCTTTCAAAGGCTGTATTCTTTGGCATAAAATATCCCCTTATACAAAGCATTCCAAAATCTTCTGTTAAATGAAGTGTGGTAGACTGGCTGATGAGAAAAACGGAGATTCCCTGTGTTAAGTGCTGGGATTATAAGTGATCTGAAAGTGAGTAACCAGCCTACAGTCAGCCTTCCCAGACTAAACAAAAATTGCTGCTACTTATGCCACAGTCACCAGGGGATACCCATATTGAGTCCCAAAGATTTTGCTGTTGCTAAGAGAAAATTCATGTTCCTAGGGTAGGGAATGGTTTATCAATCCTACTGTGGCTGCAGTTCTGTAAACTCATAAATACAGTCATGGCCCAATAGCAAATAGCCTCCAGAAAGAAACTCAATGCATGCATGTAAACTTGGGCACTGTACTAAACATAAATATCATTCTTTTTCCTATAGATTTCATATAATATAGCTCTTGGTGAAGTAGAACTAAGACCAACAACATGTACCCGCGCTGAGTCTGTCCTAGATGAATGTCCTTTTAAAACCAACCTCGATCGGATTCAAGTATGTATTTGATAGTCACCAATGGTCAGTCAAGCATTCAGAGGGTAAATGGACTTCTGTTTGTACAGGATATGTTGAGAGAATCTTTGAGTGCCAGTCAGGAAATGTGTAGTAAAGTTATGATTCATAAATGGAAACTGTTTCACATGGAGATATATAAAGTCAAACAAATGTACTTTGGTGCCCTCAGAAGAGGGGTATGTGCACAAATGACAGACTTAAGTTTCTAAGTGTGTTTACTATTGGCCTTTATACTGAAAGGACAACACCATTGCAGAACTTTCTATGATGAAAGCATAAGTTTAATCACAGCAAGAAAAGCTGTGAGGATCTCCCCGGAAGAATAGAGCCCAGTAAAAGGCCAATGCTCTGCAGTGCTGCCCCCATCCCCGGCCTTCTACATGCCTCCCTCTTCTTTCCCAGTGTGCATAACCTGTACTGCTAGTTGAGCCTTCAATTTCTGATTCCACTGAATGAACTGTTTCCCTCTTCTGCCCTGGCTTCTTCTTCCGCATCAGCACAACACACCTTGACTAAGTTGCACAGAAATCCAGGTACAAGTGAAGTGTGCAGCCATCTCAATGGAAGATGGATCTTGTATGCTGTATGTGTAATGGTTTGAGCAGCTAAGGAATTCTGGCATGAACCCTGAACAAATAAATATCATCCATAACATAAAGCTACTGCACACATGGAAACTAGTCCCAGTACAGAAATTAATCCTGTTATTCTTCTAAAGGACAATAAAAATCTAATTGGATACTTGAAATGGAGCCTAAGAGAAAAAACATGCAGCAAGTTCCTGTCTGAACTGTCCAACTGCCCCTTCAGTGAACATCCAGATCACCAGAAGGTATGCTCATGGTTCACAAAAGAACCTCCAATGTAAGCAGAACATTGTGAAAGCAAGCACCTTTGTAGGATATCTGAGAATGTTTTTGTTCATGGTCCATGTGCAGGAGGCAAACATATATTCTTGTGTGAAGAGAGTGGGAGACATCAATAGATAATTAAGTTGGGCCATATACATTCCCTCAGGAATAGCACTGTGGTTATAGAGAAGAAAGGTTACATACATGATTAGTTTTTTTCAGTTTATCTGGTAGTCTAGGTACCGAGAGTATTTAGGGGTTGTGGCCCATTTGACAGTTGGATCAACAGTGGAGATGGTTGCTTGTGAGAAGGGATTCTCTTTCCTCTTAGGTAAACCCATATTACAGACCACATGCAAATATTTGAGGCAGGCAATAGATGGAATCCCTCTTGCTGACTCCCTTTGGTCACTGGCAGATGTTCCCTCAGACCATGGGCTCCTGGAATGCCCCACACTGGGGGTAGTATTTCTCACTCTGTTAACCCTTCCCATGCACTCTTATTTTCATTGTTGCCACCTGCTTTACTTCTTCCATGGGACACACTTAGTGGGTTGCCCATGTGATGGATATTGATAGGCCTTAACACCCACTCCTACATGGCCAACAGGAGGTTGCAGAACTTTATGAGATCTGGAGGAGGTACATGATATCTGTTTGACTCTACAAATTGAAGTGATATTGATTGTTTGATTGAACAGTTAAGCTGAATGTCCTAAACACAGTAGTACCTAAAAGGACCAGTGATCACTTGCATGATTCTCAGCATGTTCTCTTTCAATTATGACTTTACTGATGGATTACCTTACTTCCTGTTTTCAGAGAGTATCCTGCTTTTTCTGGATTTTCAACTCACCCTTCAATAGAAATGTGAATTCCATAACATTCAAATGCCAAAGTATCTGAGGTTGTGAGAATGGCTGGGCTGTTTTCCCCATCTTCTACATGTTTCTTGAAGAACTCCTTAACTCAGATGGGTCCAACAGCCTCTAGGGATTTCACTCCATTGTGAATTTTGTGCATTGTTGAGAACTTTCCACTTTTTCTTTTCTTCTCTATTCCTTCATCTTCACTATTGCAAGCTTCACAAGGCCTGCCTGTGCTTTGCTCAATAAAAATAGTCATTGAATTTTGACTTGATGCTTTCTCATAGTGTGTGGTTTAATGGGATCAAACAGACAGGACCTGAGGCAACTTACCCACATTTGTGTGTCAGGCATGCACCATTGCCTGTTGAATTGAACAGGGTTCAGAACATGCAAAGAACAAAATGTGGTGGCATCTATAACCCACGTGCACTTACTTCTGCAGAATGAGCAGAAGGAAGAACTTTGTTTCTCACCTTGGAACACTTATGATCACTTTGAAAAGGATTCAGAAAGTGAAGCATATAGTCAGTATCACAGATGATGCATGTGTCAACTGAGTATGGAGAGCTAACATGATGGAAAGCATGCTTTTTCTCTCAAATTGTCACAGGCTTAAGATAAAACAGTTAATGCCCTCATATGTTTGTGAAAACTTGTAGACAACTGTGTGCAGTGTAAAATCTGTATGTGTGTGTGCATGTCTGTTTGTTTGAGTGTGTGTGCATGTGCAGGCATCCTTGTGTGAAATTTATGAGGAAAATATTAACCAGCATTTGAGACAGTGTAATAGAACTCAGTACACTGAGCACCCATCCCGTACACCCTGGGCCACCGTGGGTGAATTTCTTTTCTTCATATTTACTGTCCAGATTGACAGTGGCTTCTTACTTTCTACATAAAGACTGAAATATGGTAGACTATCTTTGATCTCCATAGGGACATATTTACCAGATACAAGAACTCAGTGCCATGAGGCTGCCAGATGCAATGGTTACCTAATTTGTTCTAGTATAATGAAAATTTAGAAGTCAGAAATTGAGATAAGTTCCTGAAATATCCAATGAAAGCAGAGCTGACTCTCTCTCCATATTTTTCCTGAATCATCCACATTAAAAAATCTATGGAATTCCTCTTCCTTTCTTCCTGTACTCTACTGACCCCTCCAAAATCCTCCAAGAAATGTATGGTTAATAGAGTCCTTCAATCATTAACACTGTCCTTTGATTCAAGGTTGCTTTATTGACACGGTGGATTGGCTGTATGGACAATTTTTCTGAAACAGTGCCACCTCAGTTATAGGCAACATTTTAGTGCCCCATATGGAAGACTTGACCTAACATCCTCATGGTATTTTTACCAAAGAAGCAAAAATTCAGTTTACCCCTAATGGGTAATTTTTTTTCTTTCACAGAGTATGTCCTGTTGTATGAGAAGTGATTGCATAATATTTCACACTTGGGAGACATTTCAAAACTGAAACCCATGCTCTTAAATCTCCCAATGAGGATTCTGAAATATTCAAACAGACTGGTGGTCCCTTTCGCTATTCTTATGACATCTGTATGGTCCTATCTGCTTTGGGACTTTTAGGGCAACATTATCTTATCTGTTATTGTCAACTGCATATCTGGCATAGTCACTAGTGAAAGATAGAATCTGAAGTAGATTTGTAAGATTACTGCAATGTTCTATGAGTTTTCTCTCTCTGATCTGTTTATTAGACTATACTCAGAGTACCTTCATTAAAGTCCTTAAATAAAGAATAAAGATGTTCCCATGATGCTGAAGTGAGTCTGAATCACATATCAAGCTCCATATGTAAAATTATATTTCTTGATGTCTACAGGTCTCCACAGTGATGTCTTATCTAAAGCTCACATCTCTGCAAGGTATCCACACGGGTTATTGACAATTTTTCCAAATGTCTTTCAACCATACTTCTTTCATCTCCTTCCATGAATTTCAGATATCTTAGATGGATTGAGGAGTGATGACTCCTTTATTCTGTATAACTGTGTATGTCATTGGATGTGTAATTATGTAAGGCTAGGAAGATGGGGAAATTCAAATATCATGAGATAGGAAGAGAAGCCACAATTTCCCTGTATATTCTTTAAGTCTTACTCAGGCTGAGCCCAAAATTTTGAGAGGGCTAGACCTATAGGTTACAAAGCTTGACAAACCTGGATGTGGCTCATCACTGTTCCATTGTTCAAGATTTTGGGTAAATAATAGAGTAGATATTTGAATGCAATCAAAACCATTTCTCATTAAGGAGAATATGAATCATGGTCATAGGGAAAACATGTTTACATTTTAGTGTAGATATGCATTACATGTTGAAAACGGTTACTTTATAAGACAAAAATTATTTTTTTCACCTATGCCTGGAAGCACCATAATCTTAATACTCACATTGAAGATGAGGTATGTATGGCCTGATTGTTAATACAACCCAACAGCATTTCATACTGAATGATCCTGAAATTCTTTCTTGTAGTAAGGTGAGAATCCTGATATACCTGTGTGTTCAAGTGTCTGTTGGTGTGTAAGTGTGTATTAGAGAAATGAATCCAGAAATAGTGAGAGACAGGGAGAGAGGGAGAGAGACAGACAGACAGACAGACACACACACACACACACACACACACACAGAGAGAGAGAGAGAGAGAGAGAGAGAGAGAAAGAGGTATAGTCAGACTTTCCTTTGAGCTGCCAGCTATCAAATAATGAAGCAGAGACTTCTTTTTAGAATTTTTTATTTAAGAAAATTTTCCACTCATTCTACATATCAATCACAGATCACCCTTCCATCCTACCTCTTGCTCTCCTTCCATGTTCCCTCCAAACCCATCCTCCATCTGCTCCTCCAAAAGGGTAAGGGCTCCCATGGAGAGTCACCAAAGCCTAGTACATTCAGTTGAGGCATTAACAAGCCCCTCTCCGCCCCTGAATCAAGGCTGAGCAAGGCATCCTACCATAGGTAATTTGTTCCAGAAAGACAGACTAATACAAAGAATTAGTCAAACAAAGAATTGGTTCTTTGAAATAATTAACAAGATAGATAAACCCTTATCCAAATTAACCAAAAGGCAGAGAGAGAGCATCTAAACTAACAAAATCAGAAATGAAAAGGGAAACATAACAACAGACAACGAGGAAATCCAAAGAATCATCAGATCATACTTCAAAAACCTGTACTCCACAAAATTGGGAAATCTGAAAAAAAAATGGATCATTTTCTGGTAAGGTACCAAATACCAAAGTTAAATCAAGACCAGACAAAATATTAAAATAGACCAATAACACTTAAGGAAATAAAAATAGTCATTAGAAGTCTCTCAACCAAAAAATAACCCAGGACCAGATGGTTTCAGCATAGAATTCTACCAGATTTTTCAAGGAAGAGCTAATTTAAATACTCTTCAGATTATTCCACACAATACAAACAAAAGAAATCACCAAACTCTGGCAAAACTAATCCAAGAACATATCAAAGAAACTATCTATCATGACCAAGTATTTATCAAAGAAACTATCCATCATGACCAAGTATGCTTCATCTCAGGGATGCAAGGATGGTTCAACATACAAAAATCTATCAATGTAATATATCATATAATCAAATGGAAAGAAAAAATACATGATCACCACATAAGATGCTGAAAACCCCTTTGACAAAAATCCAACACTATTCATGATAAATGTCCTAGAGAGACCAGGAAGACAAGGAACATACCTAAACACAATAAAGACAATTTAGAGCAGGCTGGCAGCCAATATCAAATTAAATGGAGAGAATCTAAATGTGATTCCGCTAAAATCAGGAACAAGATAAGGTTGTCCACACTTCCCATATTTATAAAATATAGTACTTGAAATTTTAAGTAGAGCAATAACACAATCAAATGAGATCAAAGGGATAGAAATTGGAAAGGAAGAAGTCAAATTTTCACTATTTGGAGACAATATGATAGTATACATAAGTGACCCCAAAAATTCTACAAGGGAACTTCTATAGCTGATAATCTCCTTTATTAATGTTGCAGGATAAAAGATTAACTCAAAAAAAATCAGTAGCCCTCCTATATACAAAAGATAAATGGGCTGAGAAAGAAATCAGAGAAACATCACCCTGTACAATAGCCACAAATGATATAAAATACTTTGGGGTAACTCTAACTAAGCAAGTAAAAGACCTGAATGCAAAGAACTTTAAGTCTCTGAAGAAAGAAATTGAAGAAGATAATAAAAAATGGAAAGATCTCCCATACTCATATATAGGTAGGATTGACATAGTAAAAATGGCAATCTCACCAAATGCAATCTACAGATTCAATGCAATCCCCATCAAATTCCCAACACAATTCTTCAGATTTGGAAAGAATAATACTCAACAACATATGGAACAACAAAAAACCCAGGATAGCTAAAAGAATCCTGTAAAATAAAGCAACCTCTGGAGTTATCACTATCCCTGAACTCAAGTTCTACTCTAGAGCTATCGTAATAAAAGCAGCTTGGTACTGGCATTAAAAAAAAAAAAAAACAAAAAAAACAAAAAAAAAAAAAACATATAGACCAATGAAATCCAACTGAAGACCCTGACATTAATCCAAACATCTATGAATACCTGATTTTTGACAAAGGAGCCAAAACTGTACAATGAAAAAAAGAAAACCTCTTCAACAAGTGGTGCTGGCATAACTGGATGTCTACTTATAGAAGATTGCAAATACACCCATATCTAACGCAAGCAATATTAGGTCCAGCCTATATTGTTTGCTCCCAGGGTCCACAGAAGAGTCTACCAACCAGTTGAGGATTCTAATCTGAGGGATTTTCAATGAATCTATGCACACTAAGTTCTTGAGTCCATTCATTTTATTTTTCTGTGATGATTCTATCTACACAGTTTCTTTTCTGCTCTCTTATTTAGCTCCTCTTGGTCCCATCTGCTCTTGGTGCTTCCTGCTCTCAGTTGTTCCTGCTCTTAGTCCCTTCTGCTGTTCTCTCCTCATTCTACCTAGCTCTTTCCATCTCTGTCCTCATCTTTGTTCTTCTCCATCAATCCTCCCAGTGCTCTCAGAGAAGCAGTATATATACCCACACAGTAATTATTTGGTAAAGCAATGTGAGGCTTGAAGTTTTCAGGGTCTCAAAGAGAGGTGATAAGGACCCACACATAAAGCAATTAATTGTAAGCTTCCAATTACAACCCAAAAGGGGAGTGACTAAAGGGGAGTTTTCTGGTAGAGTCAACTAA